GGGGAAGGGAGAGGGATAGAGAGTTAGAAACATTGATGCGAGAGAAACATCCATCAGCTGTCTCCTGCATGACCCCTAATGGGTTTCGAAGCTGCAACCCATGCATGTGCCCTGACCAGGAATCAAACTAGGAACTTCTTGGTTCATTGGTCAGCTCTCAACCACTGAGACACACTGGCCTGGCTGGCTGCTAACTTTTTATTTATTTATTTATTTATATTATTTTTTAGTATATTTTTATTGATTTCAGAGAGGGGGAGAGAGAAACATCGATGAGATTAACTGAGGCATATTAAACATTTCAAGAGTTTATTTGAGCAAAAATTGATTCCAATTGGGCAGCTTCCCATCTAGAAGATAGAAAGGAGCCCCAAGGAGCTGTACAAAATGAAAGACTTTTATAGGCAGAAGGAAGTGGGAACAAGAAAGTTAGACTACACTACACAAAAAAAGCAGGTTGGTTACTGCAAGGTGACTTACCTGTCTATAGGCAGATGGCCTAACTAGTTCTGGTCAGATGATTCCTGATTGACTGGTTTCAGAGATCATTTCTGGGAGAGCTGGAACTGTAATTAAGTCTCAGTTTGGTGACATGTGGCTTAGCATAAGTGACTCCATTGGGGGCCTGTTGTCTTGTTTTGAACAACCATGAGCATTAACTGCCTGCTTATTAATTTAGGTAAGTGTTTTATAAAGATGGAATGTGATAGGCTTTCTCATCTTTGTTGTAAGTCACGAGAAAGTTTAAGTATATTAAAGGCTGATGGGCTACTATGCCGGCCATTTGGTTTTAGCTTATGAAAAATTTGTACCTGTGGACCCAGGCTTTTGTGCACCTATATCATTGATATTTTACCTCCTAAGGAATACTAGGAGAACAGAAGGGTACATTGAAAATATCACAATTATTTTGTGGAAATTCCCTAACCTATGAAATGAAGAGGTAGACAGGTCTATTTCTTTATATGTTCAGCTTTCCCCATTATGAACCCTTGGTTTTCCCATCTTCATGATCCAGATATCTATTTGAGGATGGAGTCTGCCTCAATCTTATATTTTGGAACCCTGAGAGGGAACTATAGGGCTTTAAAGGGTCTCCAGCAGTCCTTTTGGTCAGAAAAAGAAGTCATGTGTACAAGGTGGTGGACATTCCTGAATGGGACAAGTAGGGTCGAAAGGTAAAGAAAAGGAAGCCCTAAATTCTTTTGGGCCATAATTTTAGGGCAATATTTGCAACTCTATAGAACTTGAAAATATAATATGTTTGCTCAGAATGCTTCCTGTCATGTAATAGACCCAGAAAAGTGTTCAGGCCTTGAGAAATATTCTAAAAGTTCTGCTCTTGCCTGGCCAGTGTGGTTCAGTTCATTGAGTGTTGTCCTATGCACCTAAAGGTTGTAGGTTCAATTCCCAGTCAGGGCTTATAACCAGGTTGTGGGTTTGACCTCTGATTAGGGCATGTACTGAGGCAGCCAATCAATTTCTCTCCTTCTCCCTTCCTCTCTCTAAGCATGTCCTTGGGTAAGGATTTCAAAAACAAGTTTTGCTCTTTAGTTATCAATTTTGTACAATGCCTAACAATGTGCCTAAACTTAGTGGCCTAAATATACAAAAAAGAAAAATAGCAACTTCAGAACCTAGTGACTTGAGGTTATTTAGTGGGATGCATACTGGAAAAGAGTGAATTGAAAGGGAGAAGTGTGAATTGAGAATTTATTATCTTTTATCCCATTTCAGTTCCTACTAATCCTCTGTTTATATCTAGAAAGCCAGTTCCCTAAAACTGAGCAATGCTCTTGTCATACTTCTATTGCCCTACTAGTTTTGATAGACTTGACACCACTACTAAAGTCTGGATTCTCAGAAGCCAAAGGCCATGTGTACTTAAATTCTCACTCCCGTGCCACAATCAGTGCTGTAGAATATTCAGTCATACGTTACTCATGCCCTGTGCTCATGTGCTCTACTCAGTCTGGGATGTCCTTACACCACTTCACCAGGGTAAATCTTAAACAGTTATGAGGACTCAACTGAGCCTCTTCTAAAAATATCTTCCCTGACCTGCCCGTCTGGGTTAGACCTGCCTTGGCTCCCATGGCGCCCTGTGCGTGCACCCCATCATTGCCTCCTATGCTGTATCACACTATTTTATGGACCAATCTATAAACCATGAGCTCCTTGAGGACAGAGACTTAGTATTTTCCACTTTCATGTCCCCAGTGACTAACACATGGTAATCTCATCTACCATTTAAAATGGTAGAAAATAGTTGGCAGTAAACATATATCCACACTATGATCCAGCGATCTTATTCTGAGCATATAACCAAGTGAAATGAATGCATAGACATGTACAAGCATATCAACGGTGTCTATATTCAAAATAGCTATGAATTAGAAGTAATCCAAATGTGCATCAACAATAGACTGTATAGTGCTACATTCATTCCATGAATAGCAACAATGGAAAATACTGAATCACTGCTACAGACAATATGGATGAGACTCACAAACACAAAGGCCAGCAAAAAAGCCAGACAGAAAAGAATAAATATTGTAAAATTGTGATACAAGCAAATATCAGTCTGTTGTGATGAAATAAGCAAATCTAATCTATGGTGGTAAAAGTCAGAATAGTGGTTGCCTTTGCAGGAGAGCGGAGGAGATGGTATTACTGGAAAGGGCTATGAGGAAACCTTCTGGGAGGCCAGACATATTTTATCTCTTGATCTTGTTGTTGGTTACACAGGTGTGTAAAAATTCATCATTACACATTAAGATGTGTGCACTTTACTGTTAGTATGTTATACCTCTATAAAAATGTTAAATAAAAAAGAACTCCATCAATGCAGTTTAATAGGGAACTGATTTGTAGGAGCTTTTGGTTGTGGAGCATTTTCATCTTACTGTAAGTGTTTGCTTATAAAGTTTTCATAATTCTCAGGTTGATTTTAAACTGTTGTATAATATACAGGTGGCATGTCATAGAATTGTATACCTGAAACCTATATGATCTTATTAACCAATGTCATCCCAATAAATTTAATAAATAAATGAATAAATTTTAAAACTTTGAATTATGATCATAAAATATATTAATTGCTTATAATTTATTTATATTTTTTTAGGTTTTATCTCAACTTTGTTACTGAAGAAGTAGAAAATCCTGAAAAGTAAGTAGCCATATTTACTCTGAAATACTTATGAGGAATAAATGTAAGGCTATATAGTTGAAAAGTAGACCTAAAGAAGAAATTTAGTGTGGGCTAATCAACTTTATACTTATCATAATCATCATTCTCTTAGGCAGATAAAATTTATTTGATTTTATCATAAATTAGATGCCAATAACTTTATTGTATCTTCTACATTTAGCATTAAATTATAGAACCTGAAAGCATAAAATAATAAAGTTATATTTTTGGTAACCTATTTTATACATCTATACATACACTTAACATGGATTTAACAGGGCCTTAACTTCACACATTGATAATATCAGTGTTTCCATATATATACAAATACTGAAGGACAATGATGTATTAATTCAGTGTTTTTTTATTGCAAAGAAAGTTCATCTCAAAAAAAATGACAATACTAATACCATCTGCCTCATTGGGTTGTGGAAATGAGTTAATGTATATAGAGTACTTAGATTAGTTACTATTGGTTTTTATTCTCTACACTAGAGGCCTAGTGCATGAAATTAGTGCACAGGGGGTGGGGTGTCCCTCAGCCTGGCCTGCACCCTCTCACAATCCAGGACCCCTAGGGGGATGTCCGATTGCTGGTTTAGGCCTGATCCCACTAAACCAGCAGTTGGACATCCTTCTCACAATCCAGGACCACTGGCTCCTAACAGCACACCTGCCTGCCTGCCTGATCACCCCTAACCATTCTGCCTTCCTGCTTGATCACCCCTAACCACTTGCCTGCCTGCCTGATTGCCCCTACTCACCTCTGCCTCGGCCCCTGCTGCTGTGGCTTCATCCAGAAGGACATCCGGAATGATGTTTGGAAGGTTGTTTGGATGTCCGGTCTAATTAGCATATTATGCTTTTATTATTATAGATAATTGTTTGGTTGTTGTTACTATTATTATATCCTTATTTTAGGAGCAAGGTAAATATTACCCATGTAAGAGTGTTTTCTATATTTCAATATCCTAAGCTATTCTCTTTCTTCAGTGTTTTTGATAGAAATATGAAAAATTATTTCACACCATAGTGAAGCTTGTTCTCTAAACTTTCAGTACTAAAGTTGGATGTGCATTTTATGATCTCTCCTATTCTTGTGTACAGATTCATTGAATCTTTATATTTAGAGAAAATAAACTTGCATTTTAAAAGAGAAACATCAGCTATAAGAGTTTTATAATAAATTAAAGTAACTATCAAATCTGATGTAGACTAAGATTATTATCACTGGTTACCTTGGATAAAATATTTTCATTTTCTGGAACTCATGATTCTGAAAACTGTATTAAATATTCCTAGAATACTTTTATTTTGATATGATATTTTAATGTGTTAAACTAAGGAACTTCTCAGGGGAAATTAAGTAAGACTCTCTGGATTTTTAGGTCAAGATAATAAGTAACTATTGAAACTTCAGTTGAAGAAAGACCTGTCTGATATCATTCTTTTTTCATACTAGATACTCAGATATTTCATTTTTGCATGGAAGATTTTGCATAAGACTTAGCCAACACATTTATTTTCTCAAGATCAGAATCCGAGATAGCCACAAAATCCCCTTAATGAAAACTACTGATTAAATTTGTACTATGCATTATTTATCAACCAAAGAAATTCAGGGTTTTGAGCAATTTATTCAGTGTATTAAATTAAAAAATAACATTTCCCTGCAATGTTGACAACCAGTCCAAGCCTTTAAAAAATAAATCTTATTTTTTTAAACACAAAGAATGCTTTGGGACATATTCATGGTTGAATATAGAGAACAGATGGTAAAATTATGTGGACCTATTCCAGATGTGTAATTTGTATTATTTTGTAGGTCGACACAGCTCCAAAATACCTTTCGTTACAAGGGAGAATAATTATAATTTCATCTCCTTTGTGACGTGCCAAGATAAATGTGTTTCCCAAACAGTCGCAGTGTGTGTGTCCAGGTGTGCGGCAACGTGCAGCTCTCTGGCAGCTGGTGAAATGAATCATCAGCTGCAGGTACAACACCTTGTAGTATCCTCCTCCGCCGAGGCAATAAATTTCACCTTAAATTGTGATGGAACAGAAAAAGTGGTCATTAATTTCGCTCAACGAAAATGTGATTTAAAATATATAGAACGGAGAATATGGTTTCATGATCACTATTGACAATCTTTTATGTATAATTTGATATCAGTGGAAATCTTTCAAATTACCTAACATTACTCTACAGAATAATTTCTTAACTTCTAATAGGAGCATGACTTATGGAACAGTTCTGTAAGTGTTATAGCAAATGAGAGATAAGCGGGGAGATTAATATCATCAAAATAATTAGTTTGTGACTTCTTTCTTATTATCTCACCCATTCTTAATAGCTTTTAAGACACTAATCCTAAAATTTGAGGCAAAATTCTGCTATATGATTACATTTGTAATGTTAAAAAATGTTCCAATGATATTTCTCATAATGTTTTCTTCTCTAAAAGCAGCTTTGGACTATAGAAGTAGCAATCCTTAAAAGACATTTACCATTTTTATGTGAAAATGCAATAATATCTTTGACATTTTGCAATAATATAAAAATATTGCATTTAATAATTATCTACAGCATGGTGACTGGCTCCACAAATGAATATATTAAAGTAAGAATAGTATTTTGAAGAGCATAAAAGTCCAAAGTTTGGATCACATAAGTGATAGAATCCCAACGAATATCTGAATTTTAAAATAATATTGCCCCTCCCCCCAAAGAAGTGTGTAGTAGTAGTGATTTGCTAATGAGTACCTTTGCTTTTAAAAATCAAAATGTTTTTATTTGCAAATCTAATAGGTTTTCCCTATGATATTACTTTTGTGGTGACTGCAATCCATCATTGTTCAAAAAGTTACACAGTGCAAAGAACATATCATTGAGATGTATAATGTTTGTAATCCTGCTCTCAGATTGATAAATCGTGTCTTGTGTCGATGAAAGGCAAGAAATGAATTGCTTTACTTTGACCTTGGGAGTCTGAGATTAGTCGGTTTGCCTATTAGCCTTGTTTCAGTGTTCTTCTCACTTCATTTATTCCTTCTGTTCTGAGGAGATGGAAATAGTAGACTTGGAGGAAGTCAGTAAAGCTTGATATCATCAGTCATTTTTGAAGAGCAGGCTATCAACATGCTCTAAATAATCAACTTTAATAGGAGGTTTAAATAATCAGAGTGTCATGTTTAATTAATACTATGCCTGCTGCCAATTTATATTAATTGATGCCTGAAAGTCATCACACCTTGTACCAATGATAACTTCAAAGAAGAGAAACTTGGAGTGGGAAAATGCCCAAAGACATTTAAGGCATTGTGATGGGATCAGACTGGTTCATAAATGGTCCACAATCACGTTATTTTCATTCAGTTCAGATGTCGCATGCATTCTTAGTATGTTTTTTTATCCTTATTGATTTGTATTAAGCTAGTGTAAAGGTATCTATAATAATAAAAATGTAATATGCTAATTAGACCAGACGGCCTTCTGGATGAAGCCAGGGCTTCAAGGGAAGCCTGGGTCCCGGGTGCCAGAGGGAAGCCGGTGCTGGCAGCTGGGGGAAGGAAGGCCTATTCTTGCACAAATTTTATGCATCGGGCCTCTAGTCTATATATATATATGCCTAAGTGACCGAATGAACAAATGACTGAATGACCATTTGACCAGTCGCTATGACGTGCACTGACCACTAGGGAGCACTGCTCAGCTGACTGATGGGTGCCAGACACCAGGCTCACGGCTGACAAGCACAGCTGTGGTGGCGGCGTGAGCCTCCCGCCTCCGCAGCAGTGTGCTACCCGCGGCTGCAGGCACAGCAGGGCCAGGATGAGCGGAAGTAGCACGGGGCTGGCTGGGGCTCAGGCTCCTCCCCGGCCACCTGCCACATCACATACTGCTACGTCCTTCAGGGAATGTCGGACTGCCAGTTTTAGCCTGGTCCCTGGTCTGCGGGGATCAGGCCGAAACTGGCAGTCCAACATCCCCCAAGGAGTCCCAGATTGCAAGAGGGCTCAGGCCAGCCTGAGGGACCCCACCAGTGCACGAATCTGTGCACCGGGCCTCTAGTTTATTAATAATGCTATATTTTTTATAAGGCCTATTTCTTATAGGACATATAAAACTATTAGCCTGGTTAAAAACATAGCAAAAGAGAACAATTTAAAGATCTTGCCCAAATGTGCTGTAGTGAAGTTGCATGACGGCGCATTAAAGGTTGAGTTGAAGTCGTTGATCTTGTACTTTGGCATTTTAAGAGTGCAGTTTTCTATGAGAGACAAATTTCCCTGTTTATGTGTTGTAGCTTTCTAACTTAACAGGTGCTAGGAAATAGCATATAATGTCTCAATTACGTGTGCAGATTATAGCAACATTATGTTTTTTTGTTTTTTAATTACAAAGTAATGTTATCTATATTTTCAGAAAACTTGCAGTTTCTTTCACCAATACTCAAATAGTATATGTTTTTAAGGTATATAAACTAATTGTCACAGAAAACTACCTCATTGTAAATAAATGTATATAGAAAAATCTAGGTTATTAAGCAGAATTAATTTGTAAACATATTTGCTGAATGAATCTTTTAAAAATGATGTCTCCTAATCAAGTTGAATTTTAAAATTGAATTTATACCCACGTTTATAAAGATTTCTTTGGCAAAATGAGGCATCTCTTTATCAATGACAACAAAGCCTTGTTAGAATTATCTTAATATGTGACAGTACATTTCTTCAATTGTTGAAATCATTAATACCTAAATTAAATTCATTCTATTTGGTGCATTTTTTTTTCTGGAAACAGAAAAAGTTTTCCAAATCAACTTTTAAGTATGTTTCACAGCAGGAGTATAATTATACTAGTTGAGCCACTGAGGCAGGCAAAAGGTCAGGATTTGGCCAGATGTTACAGAAAATAGATGATTCTATATTCAGAGATCAAGGTCATCAAGTTACTCATTCTTGCCTTTGCTCAGTTC